GYAWWGGGATGAATAGAAATAGGGATGAATAGAAATAGGGATGAATAGAAATATTAGGATAACTTTAAATATATAACAGTACTGACATTTTCGTCATCTTTATCACCGTTTTATCTTTATCATCGTCATCATTATTTTCAATATCATGGTCTTATTACACAACTCGGGCAGTTAGAGGGCCAATAACTACAATCAACCAATCAAAATGCTGTATTGCTGGTCCAATATTCTCTAAGTATTGGACTGGGCACTGTCCCGAATGGTCCCCAATGATACCGCACTTGTGTCCCTTTGAACTTTAGTCGTGTAATAAATCTCTTATTAACCAAGCTTGCTCGGGACCATACTGGAAGAATATCGACCCTCGCTCTTTTTTGTACAGACCTCGCTGCGCTCGGTCCATACTGTCAAGACCTTGGGCCGATATTCTCCCAGTACAGCCCTCGCGCTTAGTTAATAAGATATATAATTATCATCATCATATCTATCAAACACCTGTATGGCCTGAGGTTTGTTGTTTAAGAAAACCACATGTTGCAGTAAACCTGAGTAAACAGAAATATAGACATAATGTAAATATTTAATCTTGCATTCAGTATGGTATGCTTGTAAATACTTGATTGTGATCACTCAGGGAAGTTATTCAAGAGGATGCTGAAGGTTCTCTTCAAACAGTGGTGGATGAAATTTCACACAGGACCAAAAGGAGGAGGTAAAACAAAAAAAACTAATAAACCTCAGTTTGTAAAAGTTTTATGAAATGAGGAAAAGGATGTTAAGTTAAGATTCATCAGCAATCATCCTTTGGAAATTTCAGGTCATTGCGTGGATAGCCAAAAAGTCTAAGTCTATACTTTTTACTTGAATGTCTTCTTTCTTACTTCTTCTTCTTCTTCTTTGAATTTTTGCATAATACCAAATTGGTTACATGTACAAGTGGAGAGTATTCAAATGATTTGTACATATAAGATTAAGATTTTTCAAACAATTCACAGTAAATGACCATAAAAAAAGTGATTAACAAAATGAACAGATGAGAAATAAAGAAATAACAATACAAGTTCTGTGGAATGAAACTTTGAGGGTTAAAGTAAACCTTTACAACTGTGAGTCTGATTAAATTTTATGTTGCAAAATTTTTCAGAGTTATGGGAAGGAGTGGTAACATTCGACTTGGGATGGTAAGTATTAGGTGGCCAATGAAATGTACTTTAAAGCTTTAAAGACAAGTTAGGGAATCAGTGTATCATTCTCCAAATTGACTGAAATTATTAGGGGAAGCAATTTTTATCTCTTTTATCTCATTTAAAACAGCTGAGAAGAATAAAAAATGTTCAAAAAGTGTTTCCAAATGTGTTAAAACTTCGACTAGAGTTGCAGCTACTTAGCCATTTTGAATTATTCAATGCAATTAAATTTCATATGATTTTCCAATATTAATGACAATTTGAGAGAGGTTTTAATTAAAGGCCTGCCAGACCTGTGAAAGCTATTTATGCAAAATATCTAAAGTTTATGATGTGGCAATTTTTTAATTGTAATTTTCAGATGAGGCACTTGTTTATCATTGTGGATATGTCCAGAGCTATGGAGGAAGCAGATTTAAAACCGTCACGCCTGGCATGTTCTGTCAAGGTACCTGAATTAACTATTAGACACTCTTTTAATTGAGTATTGAAAATAATCTGGGACTGGTTTGGTTTTTCTTTACTTTGCATTATGTTTGGTGTAGAAAACTTGCATCTCCATCTCAGTCAACTAGTAACTTTGTCTATTTCAGAGATTATTTTCATGTCACAATTAGTAATTATAGTGATCCTGAACAAGTATACTGTCTTTTCTAACAGCTTTTGGAAAGTTTTGTCACTGAATACTTTGATCAGAATCCTATTTCACAGGTAAAGTATTAGTTTTCCATAACTTGATAAATCTGATGTTGAGTAATGGTAGCCAGTGTTATCAGTGTGAAATCTTCTGTTGCAGATTGGAATTATTGTGACCAGAAACAAGAGGGCTGAAAAACTGACAGAACTAAGTGGTGAGATGACACTGAAAATAACCTTTGTTTATGTTTTACAACCATTAATTCTCTTACATTAGTTATGTTCAGGTTATCAATATTGACCATGGAAAGCTAGAAAATGATTGAAAGTAGCTTAAGAATAAACTATAATTATTGGACAATTTGTTTTTCCAACTGAGTTGAACTTTGTAATATAAATTAGCACTGTAAAGGGATTCTAAAGCAAATGTCTCAAGCTTCAGCCCTTCATCAGGGCAAATGACAACGGGCTAATGCTTGAAACATCAGGTGACCAATTTTCATCATCAAATCAGTTGATGAAATCATATTGTAATAACCCCCCCCCCCCTTAAGGATGGAGGTGTTAATGATAGTTAACACAGTAATGATGCAAGTGAGATATATATAATTATATCTCTACTATCTCTAGGTTTACAAGTGCACTTGATGTTATTGTTTACACCTAGGTAATCCACAAGTTCACATTGGCACTCTCCAAAAAGCTGCTGCTAAACCTTGTCAAGGAGAACCATCACTGCAGAATGCCATGGAATCTGCTGTTCAGTGGCTGAGGTGAATAACTTAATCATGATGGATGATCTTACAGGCCTGGAGGGAATTAAGAAAATATGAGACACCTAGTTGTATTTCAATGGTGCAAAAGCACAACATATTGAAAACCCAGCTAGCCTGCATGAAAGGCTTATGAATGAGAGTTTCCAGTTTTAAGGCCACAATGACCATAATTGCTTCAGGCTTTCCTCGATATCCATTTCAGTGTAGCAGCCTCATCACTGGATTGGTTATGGAGCTCTTGCAATGCAGAAAATATGCATGCTATGCAGGCTTCAAAAGCCAAGGAGATTGACAGCTGATTGGTGAGATGTGTGATGTTAATGAACACTTTTTACTATTTACAGACATATGCCAGGCCATGCCAGTCGGGAAATACTTATTCTATTTGGAAGCCTTACATCCTGTGACCCTGGAGATGTCTCGGAGACAGTTCAGGTAAGGGCTGGCATTCTCTTAGACATTTAAATGGAGAATTCTTGTCATCCTTATACCTTGTTCTGCTTGAATTAAAACAATTGGTTGACTTTTTTCTTCTCAGACTCTTCAGCGACAAAATATAAGGTGTTCTATCATAGGCATGGCTGCAGAAGTACGTGTTTGCAGAACAATTTGTGCAGAAACACAAGGTTGGTATGCTGTTGTTTGTTAATTATTGTAAGGCC